GAGGAGGAGGAGGAGGAGGAGGACGGGTCGCCTAAGCCCTTCGGAGAAAGCCTCCAGGCTTCTGCAGCAAGCGGAGTGCGGTCCTGGGTGTTCGCCGGGGTGTGCGCCCGTGGCCGCCGCGTCCGCAGGCCGCCGGCTCCGGGGCTCGAGCAGGGGGTCGACGGCAGCATGGGGATTTACCCCACGATGGATTCGTCCTGCCCAATAATTCCACAGTCTCTTGAGCGCGTTTCTCTACTCTCGGCGACAATGGGTATCATATGAGGTGGGGGGAGAGGGGCCACGGGTGTGTGTGTGTGTGTGTGTAATGTGACGTCGTCTCCCCCCCGCCGTGCGCGCGGCGGCGGTGCCCGGAGCGCACTGGGAGGGGGGGAGTGGCGCTGCGTTATCGGGCGGGGGGGGGGGAGCCAGGGGCTGTACTGCCCAATGTGCCCCAAACAGTAAAGAAACGCGCTCTCCGGGGGATTCGACGGAACACATTACATGCGGGGTACATCCATTCTGTAGTCGATGCGCTGCCCGGAGGGTTCCGCCCCGAGGCCGTCCGTGGCCACCTCGTCACCGCACAGCTTCCCGCCACACGGCTTGCTCCACACGGCTTGCATTGGGTCGGGCATGTCACCCTACAGGCGGATTTTGGACGACAGAAATAAAACGAGTTCCCCCAACAAAAATTCAACAAAATGCCCAGATATAGTCAGAAGACTCGTCCCCAGACTATTTTGACTCTTTGTGAATCTTCCTCCTGTAGAGGGACAGGCCCGACTTAAGGCTTGCACCACATTGAATCCACGACATCCCTTTCCACCACATAGCCTGTACGACACAACTTCCGTCACACACGGCGCGCAAGCTCACTGCTTGCGGTCCGCGCTCGCAGCGCTTGCTCTGTTTCTGCGGCGCCCCGAGGTATTTGGCTAGACCGGGGGACCTTTAGTCGCCTGCACTGCGTCTCCAGCTTCCGCAGCCCCCGCTGGTGTATGTCCCGAGCGAAGATGACGGCATCCCGGTACAGCAGCGAAGTGTGCTCCTGCCCCGGCGCCCCTCGGGCGCCATGAACTGGAGGGGCCCTTCTCCGCCCCTCCCTCCTGTCGTCGTCCCCCTCCGGCTCCTCTTCCTCTCTCCCTCCCTCCACTCCCTTCCTCCCTCACCCCCTCCCTCCCTCACTGCCTTCCTCCACACCTCCCTCCTCATCCCGCCCCTCATCCCCCCGCTGCCCCCATTCCCTAGCCCCCCTCTCCTTCTGCACCTCCCCCTCTCCTCCTCCTCCTCCTCCTCCTCCTCCTCCTCCTCCTCCTCCTCCTCCTCCTCCTCCTGCTCCTCCTCCCCCTCCTCCTCCTCCTCCTCCTCCCTCGTCCTCCTCCTCCTCCTCCACAATTACTCAATATGAATACTACTCTCCCTCTTCCCCTGATGACGGTTTGAAAATATTAGGCCCCCCCCCGCGTACTGTTTTTTTACGCACAAGATTCCCCGGAATTGGGTTTTCGCCTGCATTTTTGTTCCAGAATGCTGCTCTCGCTGAGGCGCCGGCCTCATTTTCGGGCGCCGCTCGTTCCGAATCGTGTTCCCGCTGCAGCGCTGGCCTCATTTCCGTGCTTCCGCTCGTTCCGAATCGTGCTCCCGCTGCAGCGCTGGCCTCATTTCCGCGCTTCCGCTCGTTCAGACTCGTGCTCCTGCTGCAGCGCTGGCGTCATTTCCCGTGCCATGCCACGGCATGCAATGCAATGCTACATAGGTTGATACTACGCTTTGCGGTGCTCTTCTACGCCATGCCATGCCGTGCCCTACAATGCATCGCGTACCCTTTCGGGATCATTGCCCTGCTCGACATCCGACTGTGCGAGTAGAGAGGGGATCTACGCCATGGTAAGGGATGGGAGGGAGGGGTAGGATGTCAGATATGACGCGAGCGCACCTAGCTTGTCCTCCTCCCCCTCCCCCTCCTCCTCCTCCTCCTCCTCCTCCTCACTCTCCCCCTCCTCCTCCTCACCCTGTCCACGTGACGGGTGCGAGAACGGGTCGCTCGCGCGAGCGAGCGCGGCCCCCCCGCGCCTGCCTCCCGACGTCGCCCTGCGCAACCTGCAGGGACGCTAGAGGCTGAGAACTTAGCACCAGCACCAGCACCGAGGGCTGCCTCCATCGGGTCGGGCGAAAGGGGGGGATAGCAAAGGGGGGGTTTGAGAATCAGCTCGCGTAGCTGATTCTCCCGGCGCCTCCCGGCGCCGGGAGCGGCCATGTGTCGAGGAATGGGCCCCTCGGTGAGGCCGAAACCAGCTGCATGCAGCAAATTTCGTAACCCCCCCTTTCCCAATCCCCCCCTTTCGCCCGACCCGACTCCACCAGGGAAAGGCGAAACCACATTTTGGCGCTGGTGGAAGTCTGCCTCGGCCATCTTTCGGGGGCGCGCAAACAGGGATCAGCGCTCCATGGACTCGGCGCACGGTGGCCAGATCCATGGATCGGGGGAGGTGCCCTCCCCCCAAAATGCGGCCGGTGCCGCCTCGTTCGGCGGCAGAAATGGGCGATTTCCCATGGAAGCGTGACCCGTCGCTAATCCACGCCCCCTTGATCCATGTTTGCGATCGCCTGAGCCTTGGGGGCCCGAATATCACCACCATCGCCGAGATCGGGATCATCTTCCCTCGGTGGACGCACGTCGCCGATCTTGGTGTTGGTGTCAACCTCGAGGCCTCAGATGCTGCTGCAATCGCATCGCTGCCGCTGGCCTCTCCGTGATCCTTCTTGGTGTGTGTGTGGTGGGGGGCGCGCTTTGGCCGCAAACAGATGCCTCCCGCATGCCCGCCGCTCCGCAAAGTCGTATCAGCCCCCCCCACACACATCTCCGAGAACCGACGTGGCAACAACCATTGCATCATCCGCTCCTCTCCCCCCCCTCCCTTGAGATCCGACCTATCCCCCCCCCTCCCCGTTGCGCCCGGGTTCCCGGCCCCGGAACGATCACGGCCCGAGCCCGCTCGCGAACAAAATAGGGGGGTCGATGGCTCCTGGTCGTGATTTCGCGCGATGTATGCTGCACAAGTTCGGTGGATGGCGAGCGCGCCGCTGCCGAGAGCAAATGGAGAAGCTGGCCCCCCCAAAGGGCCCTGCCACCCGTCGGCCAACCCCTCGGCGGCCCGCCTCGGGCCCCTCGGGGCGGCTGCGGGAGGGCCGAGATGGCCGTGGCTTTGAGTCTCGTTTGACCGATCCCCATCCCCGGCGGCGTGGCCCGGGCCCCACTGGCCAATTTTTCCCCCCCCAGGTGGGGATCATGGGCGGTTCCACTCGGGTCTCGAAGGGTGCATCCCCAACTGAGGGGGGGGTACTGTGGCGGGGGCCTCGACGGGGACGGGGGACGGAGGAGGAGGAGGAGGAGGAGGAGGAGGAGGAGGAGGAGGAGGAGGAGGAGGAGGAGGAGGAGAGGAGGAGGAGGAGGAGGAGGAGGAGGAGGAGGAGGAGGAGGAGGAGGAGACCGAGACTTGCAGACAGCAGGCGAGGGCGCTGGCCAGACCGACCCCCCCCGCGGAGCTGGCAACCGCGGGCCCCTCGGGGCCGCGGCGCCCGCGGCGGGGCGGTCGCGGCCCGAACGCGGGGCAGCATCGCACCTCTCGGTGGCCCAGGGCTCCGAGGACGGCAATCTGGGCGTGGCGACGAGAGGCCGCCGCTCCCAAGTGCGCGTGGGCTGCGACAAAACTGCCCCGCCCCCGCAAACAAAAAGCCTGTCAGGCACGGTGGGGTTGACTCCGTGCGTCTCTTTTGTGTACATATGTGTGTGTGTGTGCGTGTGTGTGTGTGGTGTGTGTGTGTGTGGTGTGTGTGTGGTGTGTGTGTGTGGGTGTGTGTCTGTCTGTCTGTGTGTGTGTCTGTCCCAGTGTGTGTCTTTACATGCTGCGGTGTCTGTTTTGGTCCCCTGAAGCTCCCTCGTGTATCGTCTATGTGTGGAGGGAGGGGCGACAATGGGAGGGAGGAACGAGGAAGGAGGAGGAAAGTGGAGGGAAGAGGGGGAGGAAGGAGGAGGAAGGAGGAGGACGGAGGAGGAGGAGCAGGAAGAGGTGGAGGTGGAGGAGGGTGAGACGGGAGGAGGGAGGAACCAGGAGGGATGAGGCGAAAGCGACCGAACGGGGCGAGGCGGGGCGCGACTCGGACGAGAGCGTCGGTGGTGGAGCGCGGTCTGACGAGGGTGGCGAGAGCAGTCCGTCCGCCTCGAGGCAGCTGGTCCTGCCCCCCTCTTGGGAGGTTCTTGGGGGGGTTCACGGGCTGCTTGGGGTGCGGTGGTGGCTTGGCTCGGGACCTGCCCGTATCGAGGCACGCCCGCGCGGGGGTCGCGCGTCGTCACCCTTCCCCGCCTCTCCCCCTCGCTCGACCCCGCGGTTGGTCAAGAGGTCCGAAAGGTCCTCCTCACCCTCTGCCTCTTTTCGCAACCTCTCCCCCTCGCCACGTCCTCCCTCGGCCTCCGCAGGGGGGTCCCGCGAAGCGCGCGCGCGGCGCAGGAAAGGCCTCCCTCCGTCTCCTCCTCTCCTTTTGCCCTCCCCATCGATCCTCCCAACCACCACCCTGCGCCCAACCCGCTGGCGATTCCTCTGTCTCCCCTCCCCTCGCCCCCACGAACCAATGTTGTCGACGTGTCCATATAGCTGCGAGCTTGGCAAGCGTTAGTTCGGTGATCGACTTCGCTTGCGTTTTCAGCTCGTTCGGCACACGAGCGTGTTCGCATGGCTGCGCTTCGTGAACCGTATTTCAATCACTGCTCCCGCCGCACGCGACACAACCGCTCATGCTGGACTCGTGTCTACCAGTCCGACTGCCCATAGTTTCGCTGCCGCAGCAACGCCATTCTGAACTTAGTGATGGGTTCCCGCTGATGTATAACAATCCAGTTGTCCATCTGTTCGCTGCCCCAGCAAGGTGTTCTCAATGTGTTGGTGGGGTTCCACCCGGTTCTTCCATTACAGCTGTCCTTTCCCGATGCCCAAGCAAGGGTTTCTCCAGGATTGGGAAGATTTGGGAGTCCACTGTTGTCAACTGCTGAAAAAATGTGTATACATGTACACACGTGTTGCCATACGCTGATGTATGTGCTGGCATAGTTTGATATACAGTTGTGTTGTTTGAACTATTGCTGGCGATGTTTGTTTTTTTGTGTGTGTGGCCCCATTTTCGCATGTGTCTCTCAACCTTTTGCCCCCGATTGTTGGCTTTCGGATGCCATGGTGGCAATACGAGTTTCCACCGTTTGAAGATTGTGCTCGGTTTTTGAAAGTGTTTGCCAGGTTTTGGAAGGTACGGCTGTTGGAGTCCACTTGTGGATCAAGTGTCTACTTCAATACACGTTTGTCAACTTGTGTGAGACCGCGATTCGCGGACGCTTGCCTTGGAACGACATCAAAACACGTGGACCCGTCCTTCCTCCCCGGGGTTCGAACCGCCCCACCCTCCGTCCAAGGGGGTGGAGTGTTCGAGCCGCCCCCGCCCTCCCCCCTGAATTGCAAGGGGGGGAGGGTGTGGACGGGGGGGGGTTCGAACCGCCCCCCCCCTGTGTAAGGAAGGGGCCGCCTTGAGCTGCAGGGAGGGGCGGTCTTCCTCCTCCGCCCCTTCCTTCTCCTCGTCGCTCACTTCCTCCTCCTCCTCCTCCTCCTCCTCCTCCTCCTCGTCCTCCTCCTCCTCGTCCTCATTCTCCTCCTCCTCCACCTCCTCGCCCTCCTCCTCCTCCTCCTCCTCCTCCTGCTCCTCCTCCTCCCCCAGCCCCCTGTGCCAGGGGGGGGAGGTCGAACTGAGAGGAGGGGGGGGACCGCCCGCCTCCCGCGAAGAGAATCCGAGGAGGGCTCCATCCTTTTCAAGTCGCATCCTACTGTGTATAGATATATATATATATATATAGATCCAGCATATATATATATAGATCCAGCTCGAATTGGATCCTACCAGAGCTGCAGCCAGGTGCGATCGAATCCTGCACAAGCTCGGTGCAACTCTACTGCCATGCCAGGGTTGCTGGAACCAACTCTACTAGCATCCCAGTCGGGCTCGCTC